TGCTATCTTAACTACTTTTATCTTTTACTAATCTTTCTTTTTTCATTGCTTGGCAATGCATGTAATTACAGAACAGTGAAAAAATAGAGATTAGCAATTAGAACAAAACAAAAATTTCATCTACCCAGAGATAGCTGAAGTTAAGCACCGAGTGCAAGTTCTTCCAAATCTGTGGATATAATAGTAATTTTTTAAATAGAGTTTGCTCATATCATATAATTTTCTTAATTTGTTTTTTTTAAACGTAGTTTCATTCTTGTTGCCCAGGCTGGAGTGGGCATGATCTTGGCTCACTATAACCTCTGCCTCCTGGGTCCAAATCATTCTCCTGCCTCAGCCTCCCAAGTAGCTGGGATTTTGGTCATGTGTCGCCTCACCCGGCAAATTTTGTATTTTTAGTGGAGATGGAGTTTCACCATGTTGGTCAGCTTGGTCTCAAACTCCTGACCTCAGGTGATCCACCCGCCTCAGCCTCCCAAAGTGCTGGGATTTCAGGCATGAGCCACAGTGCCTGACTGTACCATGCAATTTTCTAACTTGCTTATTCCACTGTACGTTGTTACCATCTTTTTCCTTGTTAGCTGACACATTTCTGTAGTATGATTTTGATGGACTGCATGATTCGAAAGACAGGCCTCTATTTTTGGACCTTGAGATTGTCTTTTTTTTCTTTTTTTGTTCTTAGGTAATGCTGCTAAAGAGATTGTCTCTAATGATTTGCTAGTATCAGCACATGAGCTGTTACTTCCTTTGGCTAGGTTCCCAATAAGTGGAAGAGTTGGATCAAAGGGTGTGCCCATACTGAAAGTGTATTATTAGTCTAGCTAGCAGGTACAAGGTTCAGCTGAGATAGATCTACCAAGTTGACAGACTATTAAAGCCAAAGGTATAAAGTAGGAGCACTGTTCACATGCAGCCCTGATGGGTGGCACAAGCCAGTACCGAGTACGGTGCCCCTAGGGTCAGTGTTCACCACAGTGGTAGAACAAGCTTTGTCACAAACATCAACATCAGCATTGCAGGTGCAGGCACACAAAACCCTTAGATACAAGAATCAAAAACAGAGACACCAAGTCCAACAATTCTTGATGTTGCTAAAATCATAATCCCAGCATTCAAAAGATACATTTTTCCACTTCTTATTTTGAATACATTTAAACCTGTGAAAAAGCTGAAAGACTAATACAGTGAACTCCATATACCCTTTAATAGGTTCAACAATTATTAACTATGTCCTCTGGTCCTGTGTCTCTCCCTCCCCCCACATGTGTGTATATATACACATGCACCTCTTTCTCTCTCTCTCTACACACACACACACACACACACACACACACACACACACAGCCTTATTTTGGAAGTGTGTTGGGATGGTAACTGCAGAAACACTGCCCTTTCAGCACAGATCTCCTAAGAATCAGGATATTCGCCTACATAGATATGAGACTGGCCAGGTGCGGTGGCTCACGCCTGTAATCCCAGCACTTTGGGAGGCCGAGGCGGATGAATCATGAGGTCAGGAGCTCAAGACCAGCCTGGCCAAGATGGTGAAACCCAGTATCTACTAAAAATATAAAAATTAGCCGGGCGTGATGGTGGGCGCCTGTAGTCCCAGCTACTCCGGAGGCTAAGGCAGAGAACTGCTCGAACCCGGGAGGCAGAGGTTCCAGTGAGCCAAAATCATGCCACTGCATTCCAGCCTGGGTGACAGAGCGAGACTCTGTCAGAAAAAAAAGAGACCCTTATCACACTTAAGAAAATTCCAGCCAGGCGTGATGGTTCATGCCTGTAATCCCAGCACTTTGGGAGGCTGAGGCGGGTGGATCATCTGAGGTTGGGAGTTTGACCAACAAGGAGAAACCCCATCTCTACTAAAAAAAAAAAAAAGATTAGCAGGGCATGGTGGCACATGCCTGTAAATCCTAGCTACTCGGGAGGCTGAGGCAGGAGAATCACTTGAACCCGGGAGGCAGAGGTTGCAGTAAGCCAAGATTCCACCACTGCACTCCAGCCTGGGCAACAAGAGTGAAATTCCATCTAAAAAAAAAATAATAATTCCACAATATATTAGTCTGCACAGACTATATGGCTTGACATCTGTTCTGTTGTGTTTTTAAAACGTTTATTGGGCTTTTATGAAAAATGAGTATTACACACCTGCTTAATATATTATGAACATATTTTCAGGTCAGTGAATATAGGTATACATAACCCTTTTTAATGGTGTATCTTGGATCATGTACCCCAGAAGCACATTCTTGCTCCCATGATTTGCTGAGGGAGAGCTCTCAGGAGAAGCGCAGTGAAGCAGAAAGGGCAGTGAGCAAACTCCAAGGAAGAAAGTGGTCTCCGAGCTGGACACCAGCTTTGGTCAGCCGGTGAACCCAAAGGGAAGCTCTGGAGCAAGGAGTGTGTTGGCACCGGAATATGCTTTCCCTGCCTCTTCCATAGCCGCGTCAGGTAATTTTCTGACCCTCATAGAAGCTGAGGGACTTCAGCAAGTGAAGAGTTCTAGGTGGGGCATCCCTTATAGGTTGCACAGGTTTCAGATGCTCTGCTATTAGAAACAATGTGGCCAGGCGCGGTGACTCACACCTGTAATCCCAGCACTCTGGGAGGCCAAGGTGTGTGGATCACAAGGTCAGAAGTTTGAGACCAGCCTGGCCAATATGGTGAAACCCCATCTCTACTAAAAATACAAAAGTTAGCCAGGCATAGTGGTGGGCGCCTGTAGTCCCAGCTAGTCAGGAGGCTGAGGCAGAATTGCTTGAACCCAGGAGGCAGAGGTTACAGTGAGCCGAGATCACACCATTTCAGTCCAGCCTGGGTAACAGAATGAGACTCCATTTCAAAAAAAAATAAAGAAAAAAGGAAATGATGCAAGGAGCATCTTCCATATACTCTACATCAAAGGTCCCCAACCTCCAGGTCACCGACCACCACCAGCCTGTGGCCTGTTAGGAACCGGGCCGCAAAGCAGAAGGCAAGCGAGTATTACTGCCTGAGCTCTGCCTCCTGTAAGATCAGTGATGGCATTAGATTCTCATAGAAGCGTGAACCCTATTGTAAATTATGCAGGTGAGGGACCTACGTTGCGCATTCCTTATGAGAATCTCATGCCTGGATCTGAGGTGGAACATTTCCATCCTGAAACCATCGCCCCCCTCTCCTCAATCTGTGGAAATACTGCTTTCCACAAAACCAGTCCTAGGTGCCGCAAAGGTTGGGGCCACTGCTCTACATGACTGGCACTTGTTTGTTTCCTTAGGGAAGTCTTAGAAGTGAAACCAATGAAATGGTTTGCACTTTGAAATTTTGACAGTTTTTGCCAAATTGCAGAGGAAAAAAATACCATGTTGCATTTGACAAGAGTGTTTAGGAACACCTTCACTCGGACACTCTAGCCAATGCTGGGTATCATGGCTATAGTCATTTTAATTTGCTTTTCTTTCATAGGAAAGCTGACATATATATGTTTATATTCATTTTTTTTTTAACAAGACTACTTGGCACATCTTTGGTGTAACTGTTGGTACAGTATCTTTGGTTTCAAGATAGTTTTATATTACCTTTCAACACATTTAATTCAAATATGCTAAAACCTTCATTTAATTATTTTACTTTTTCTTAAAAATATAAGTGTAATTACATAGTAGGAAAAATATTCAAGTTATAAAAGCAGAATAGCTGTGCTCAGTCATGTGCACCTGTAATCCCAGCTCTTTGGGAGGCTAAGACGGGAGGATCACTTGAGCCCAGGTGTTTGAGACCGTACTGGACAATATAGTGAGACCTCGTCTCAGAAAACAAAAAAGCAGAATTCATACAACAAAAATATTAGTAAATATGAGGGCCAATAAAATTGCTGAACTTAGGCTGAGTACAGTGGCTCATGCCTGTAATCCCAACAATTTGGGAGCCTAAGGCAGGTGGATCACTTGAGCCCAGGAACTGAAGACCATCCTGGGCAAAATGGCAAGATCCCTGTCTCTACAAATTTTTGAACAATTAACCTAAAATTAGGTGGCATCTCCTAAGCTCCTAGACACAGGGCTCAATGGAGGTGGCACCATAGGCACTGTTGCTGAACCAACAGTGGGAGCCAAGCCAGTGCCAGCCTTGGCATCCTTACTTCTCTCCTCTCCTGCCTGGCCCTCCACGGCTCTTCGTCCTTCCTTCTCTGTCCACCCTCCCCATTCACCTTGCTTCACAACCCCCAACTTCTCCCCAAGGGAGGATGGAAGGCCTGTTCTGCACAACTAGGTCAAGTTGTTCATTACCTTGTTTGTTACCACAATTTGGATACTTAGGGGGTGAACCTGCATCCTTCCTCTGTGGCTGCACGTGGTAAATAAGCCAGATAAAGTATTACTGACAAGATAGTCTATGTCCCAACACCAGCCTTAGGAAACAGCTTCATATACTCACTTTTTCCTCTTCCTCAATCCTGTGGTGGATGATGCGTAGCCTTCTAAAGTACCAGGCCAAACCTCCCAGGCTGTGGGTCTACACTGACCTTAGCAGTGGGTCTTCACAATCTGGAGTCAGTGCCCTGAAGCAAGTGACTGTCACTGGCGTGGAGCTGAGCAGTCTACTTTGTGGCTGCTGCAAAGAAAATGGGAGATAAAATGGCAGCTGTCGTCCTCACGTCCTGAGTAGGTCCCCCTCAGAGTTCTGAGACTTGGGCACGCTCATGAAACTTCTGAAGCTGGTCTCCTCCCAGTTGATTCAGACTCAGTCATGTCAGCCCTGAGCCAGCAAGCCTCCACAAGCACTGGGCAATCCAGTGTGTCACCAGAGAAGACCAGGGGCTAGAAAAGCTCCAGGTGCTCAAAGCAGTTGCACAGAATTGCCCATAACTTTGGCTTTTCCCACCTGGCGCCGAGAGCCCCTTTGCCCTCACTCTGTCAGCCACTACCCAGCTCTCAGAAGTTCATCTTTAGAGGTCCTACTCTTTTTCCAGGGAACCAAGACAAAGAATAAACTGGCTTAAGAAAATAAATAATTCAAAACTGTAGAAGACTAAATGTTTATTAATTCATGTAAACATTTTGCAACTTGGGAGGAGACAAGGCAAAGCCAGTAGGAGGCCTTCTAGGAAAGGGGGTCAGATGAGAGAGGCCTTCAGACTCGCCCCAGACCAGCTCCACCATAACAGTTTCTAGAAACGGGTTAGTCACATGTAAACAAAACATAATTTTCCCCATAATTTTCAAATTATTATTCTATTTTAAAGGGAGGTAAAACTCCTATACTTTTCCAGAGTTTAAAATGATAGACTATTTTAAACATGTTTTTATCCAGACAAGTTTCTGCTCGCCTCAGTGGGATCTGCAAGCTTGCATGATAGTACATTAATTTTCAATCCACTCCTTGCTCTGTGCGATACAACAAACTGCAGGGAGAAACAGAAAGAGACAAAAGTTTTAAAAATCCCCTTGTATATAAAGGTGAAAATCAATGATCACAAACAGAGAATTGCAATGAAAGTTTTGTTTAGAGATACTAATATAAACTTCCATTGAAGTTTTAAGATGACGGGAAGAGTCCTGGTCTCACAGTATGGTTGATAATTTACAGGTCTGGCTTCCGACTGATTTGGTAAAAATTTATGTCACTTTTCATGCTATTTCTCTCATATAGGAAAATTGGGATTAAAAATCTAATGCAGGGCTGGGCGTGGTGGCTCACGCCTATAATCCCAGCACTTCGGGAGGCCAAGGCAGGCGGATCACTTGAGGCCAGAAGTTCAAGACCGGCCTGGCCAACAAAGTGAAACCCTGTCTCTACTAAAAATATAAAAATTAGACAGGCGTGGTGGTGCACAACTGTGGTCCCAGCTACTCAAGGGCTGAGGCAGGAGGATTCTTTGAGCCTGGGGAAGTTGAGACTGCAGTGAGCTGGGATCACATCACACACTCCAGCCTGGGTGACAGAGCAAGTAGAGCGACTCTGTCTCAAAAAATAAATAAATAAAGTCAAACATAGGAAAAAGGGCTTAATGTGTATTCAAACTACCAACTGTGATAGACTTCAAACTGTAGCAGGGACTCAATCTGTGAGATTACAGGAATATGATAATATAACTTACTAATAGTCTCGTTTTTTACAATTTATACAGCACTTTAACCAATATTTTATTTAATATAGAGTGGAAGGACATATCAACCACTTTAATTTCAAGACTGAGGAAAAACGTACCAATGTGATGGAAAATTGTGAAAGACTTTAAATGGGCACTAAGTGGATACCCTTTCAATGGAATGTTGTGGTGGTGGCATTTGGCTGGAACACCTTCAGAGCTGTCTGATTCTACAGGGCTGCACCTCCCATTGCACAGACTGAGCTGTTTTAGAACTAGGTTGTAGAAAGCTGATAGTGGCTGGCATGATCCTGCTCGTGGAATCCCCATGAAGCTTGTCTGAGTGAAGATGCATTGGCTCTGCCCTGTAGAAGAGTCCAGTGGTGCATCTACAAGCAAACCCATTCAGCATTTTGCATTGCCTGCCTATGTATCTATCCTTCCAATTCCCCTTTGAATCTTTTCTCCCCCTACATGTTACTGATTCCTTCATTAATTAATGAGTTAAATCTTCAACATGTGTTATAGTATTTTTATATGAGTCAGGGTTTCTGGATTTTGGTTTTGGGTTTTACGTCTCTTTATTTGTAAAATACTGTGTTACCTAACACACCAAGCAGCTTGTCTGTAATTGTTAGTATTTGTGAAAGCCACCGGGAACATCTATTAAACACATTCTCTGGGAAAGTCCAGTATCCTTTGACTTGAGGGTCATTCATTGTTGTATTGAATCAAATTTAAAATCAAAACTCTTAAAGTTCCCATGAGCTTAAATTGATCAGATTCATTAACAAGTGGTGCCTCCTATCTAGAGGGAAAGCATACAGAGTTGGTCAAGGACTTGAGCTTGCTCTGACTTGTGACAGTCTCTAAGGCTCCATGCTAACCGTTGAAGTGATGCAGCATCTTACTGCAACTTTTATTCCTTTGGCTGGTAATGAAGAGGCCTCAAGCCGAGGTCCTAGAAATATTGGTAAGGCCACTGAAGACTCCATGTCCGGAAATTATTCCTATGAGCTGGTGGCCATGGAAAATGGGAAAAGCTGCTTATAAGGCTGAGGTGGAGGACAGGCAGCATTCACAAATGCTCCTGTAGGGTGTCCATGAAATGAAAACTAATTTCATCATAATACTAATTCTCTCATCAGCACACGATGTTTTCTAGAGGCTCCATCATACCATTAGTCTGACACAATTGGAATGTGTGCTCTAGAATATTTAAAAAATTTTTCAGTATTAAGTTCCAATACAGCAAATATCAGTAGATATAACCCACACAAACAGGAGCACACTGACTTATGGGAGACTACAAGAGAAAAGAGTTGAGAAGCATGAAGTCAAACAATAAGGCTGGCTGAGTCCAGTCTCACCTGTGACCCAGAGCAAGTGGCAACACTTCTTGGTTCCACTTTTCTCATCTGCAACAGGGGAGTCTGTCTCACTGCACTTCTCCCCCTCTGACACCTTGAACACTAAGACTCTACGATCTTCCACACTGAAGTATTGTTAGTGCCTTGGGAGGCAGCTGTGGCCTTTCAGAGTTGGAGGATCATGGAATTTTGCAGGTTAGCAAAGTTAATTATCCTTTGCAGGGTCTCACAGGTTGAGGTGTGGTGGGATTAGGATTCAGACCAAATCTGTCTCCCCACCACAACACAAGCACTTACCTGTGCATCTTACACTGCCTCATTAAGTGAAGGGCAGCACCACAGGGTGAGTGGGAGTGGGGACAACCCAGTCTGACCTTTTAGGGTTGGGGGGGACAAGAAGGGGTCTCACTATGTTGCCCACGCTGGCCTCAAACTCCTGCGTTGAGGTGATCCTCCCACCTCAGCCTGCCAAGTAGCTGGGATTACAGGCATGCACTATTGCACCCAGCAGCTCTGATTTTAAAGTCCTTTGCCCTGCTTTGGATTTAACCTTAAAGGATATTTTCTTTGTTGGTCTATTTTCTCAGATGTCTTTGGCAACTCCTTTATATAATATGAAAAAAAACCCTGGCTATTTCCTTTGTTTTTAGGGTAACTGAATCCTTATGCACATCTGGAACTGGGCTTAGAAATCATAAATTCCTGAACTTATCTAAGTTTTTCTTATGGTTTGAATATATAGAATAGTATGGCACTATAAAATGCACTAACTTTTAAATAAATTTTGCTTCTTTCCAAGAGAAATTGCCACTTTAATGCTGTTTTCTGTTCATCTGTCATTGCAAGAAACTCGTTTACCTGGTTAAAAAAAAAGATGAGACAAATATATCTGAAGTTTACACAGACTATTCATTTTGACAATGACGTGAAACAAACTTTCTCATTAGCAATGAAATTTTATTTGCAGTAATTACAGCTCAATCGTTTGTTTTTGTATTTGGTAAGAGGCATTTTTTTTTTTTTTTTTTTTTTGCCTTCTGTGACTCTAGCCAAAGAGGCACTTGTTTCTCATTTTACTTTATGCTCAGTTCCAGATGTGCATAAGGACTCAGCTACCCTAAAAAAAAAAAGGAAATAGCCAGGGGTTTTTTTTTTTTTTTTTCATATTGTTTAAAGGAGTTCCCAAAGACATCAAAGAAAATAGACCAAGAGGCCAGGTGCGGTGACTCACACCTGTAATCCCAGCACTTTGGGAGGCCGAGGCAGGCGGATCATAAGGTCAAGAGATCAAGACCAGGCCGGACGCGGTGGCTCACGCCTATAATCCCAGCACTTTGGGAGGCCGAGGCAGGTGGATCACGAGGTCAAGAGATCGAGACCATCCTGGTCAACATGGTGAAACCCCGTCTCTACTAAAAAAAATACAAAAATTAGCTGGGCATGGTGGTGCATGCCTGTAATCCCAGCTACTCAGGAGGCTGAGGCAGGAGAATTGCCTGAACCCAGGAGGCGGAGGCTGCGGTGAGCCGAGATCGTGCCATTGCACTCCAGCCTGGGTAACACAGCGAAACTCCATCTCAAAAAAAAAAAGAAAGATCAAGACCATCCTGGCCAACATGGTGAAATGCTGTCTCTACTAAAAAATACAAAATTTAGCTGGGCATGGTGGTGCATGCCTGTAGTCCCAGCTACTTGGGAAGCTGAGGCAGAAGAATCGTTTGAACCCAGGAGGTGGAAGTTGCAGTGAGCAGGGATCATGCCACTACACTGCAGCCTGGCAACAGAATGAGACTCCATTTCAAAAAGAAAAAAAAAATAGACCAAGAAAGGTCTATAAAAATCCCAAATTTCTGGGATTACAGGTATGCATACTGTTGCCTGGCTAATTGTCTTGTTTTATTTTTTGTAGAGACAGGGTCTCACTATGTCGCCCAGGGTGATCTTGAACTCCTGGCCTCAAGTGATCCTCCTGTCTCAGCCTCCCAAATTGCTAGGATTACAGGTGTGACCCCTCATGCCCAGCCAAATATATTGTTTTGACAGAGAAGATAAGGCAGGAAAGGCTATATAAACAGAATCTCAAAAGGCGTTCAGGTAGCTCAGCAAGGAAAACTCCTCTCAATAAAGTGGAAACAGAATTTGGTACTAAAGTCTAATGGTAAATTTCATTAGCTAGTTTTAACAATAAAAAACAAGTGCCTATTACCAAATGCACATGCTAATCCCTAAGTAAGGGAGAAAACTTATGGTTGACTTTATGTAACTGGGTAGGTGAAACACAGCCAAATCCTCCCAGAAAAGCCACCTTATGACTCATCAACATTTCCAACTTATTGTTTTACCCCTTGTTACTTGATTATATAAAATGTCATGTTTGGGCTGGGCACGGTGGGTCACACCTGTAATCCCAGCACTTTGGGAGGACAAGGTGGGCAGATCACCTAAAGTCAGGAGTTCGAGACCAGCCTGGCTAACATGGTGAAACCTCATTTCAAAAAAATGAATAAAAATAAATAAATAAAATGTCATGTTTTGTTTCTTGTTGTTGTTTTTTCAGAGTCTCTGTCTCCCACGCTGGAGTGCAGTGGTGTGATCTCGGCTCACTGCTACCTCCACCTCCTGGGTTCACGTATCTCTCTGCCTCAGCCTCCCAAGTAGCTGGGATTATAGGTGCCCACCACCATGCCTGTCTAATTTTTGTATTTTATTTTTTATTTTATTTATTTATTTTTTTTGAGACAGAGTTTCACTCTTGTTACCCAGGCTGGAGTGCAATGGCGCGATCTCGGCTCACCGCAACCTCCGTCTCCTGGGTTCAGACAATTCTCCTGCCTCAACCTCCTGAGTAGCTGGGATTACAGGCACACGCCACCATGCCCAGCTAATGTTTTGTATTTTTGGTAGAGACGGGGTTTCACCATGTTGACCAGGATGGTCTCGATCTCTTGACCTCGTGATCCACCCGCCTCGGCCTCCCACAAGCGCTGGGATTACAGGTTTGAGCCACCGCGCCCGGCTTAATTTTTGTATTTTTAGTAGAGACAGCGTTTCACCACCTTGGCCAGGCTGGTCTCAAACTCCTGACCTCAGGTGATCCACCTGCCTTGGCCTCCAAAAGTGCTGGGATTACAGGTGTGCACTGTTGCGCCCGGCCTGTTGTTTTTTGAGACAGAGTCTTACTCTGTCACTCAGGATGGGGTGTAGTGGCGTGATCTTGGCTCGCTGCAACTTCCACATCCTTAGTTCAAGTGATTCTTGTGCCCCAGCCTCCTGAGTAGCTGGGATTACAAGTGTGCATCACCATGCCCGGCCAGTTTTTGTATTTTTAGTAGAAACAGGGTTTCGCCACATTGGCCAGGCTGGTCTCAAACTCCTGACCTCACGTGATCCACCCTCCTTGGCCTCCCAAAGTGCTGGGTGTTTTATAGGCATGAGCCACTGCGCCCAGCCCTAAACCATCATGTTTATTTCTCCATTTAGCCTAGTGGCCTCAGTCATTATCATAACAGTAAATATTAGCTAGGATTTTAACATAAAATATGTAACATTTGTTCATTAAAGCAATGTGTGCTTAAAGCAAGATGATTTTTTTCCCAGACCGGTTTATTAGTGAATTAATTTCTATCAAATGTTTGACAAAACAACCTATATTTTTTGGGAAAAAGCATTCACTTTGGAAATACTCTAAACATTTCTTCCTTTTTGCTATTTACCGTGCAGCCCAAAGTCTCCTCAGCAACATTTCCTGTGAGACTACAGGAATGAAGGGTACCTGTGTGATCAGTCAGATCGATCAGCATTTCAAAACTGACAAAGACAGATTTAAAGTCCAAGGAGTTTTTGTTGCAAGTTGTGCACATGTTAGATGCTTCATTTACAATATAACCACAGCTGGAACTGAAAAGAAACAGATGATGATAAAATGTGATGGCTCTAAGTGACAAATTTCATCTTTAGCAGAAAAAGAATTATCACTAAAAATTCTAAGTCAGTGTGTGGAAAACGTACTGAGTGTTCAGTGCTGTGTAGAGTACAACACAGTCACAAAAAACAGTAAAACACACTTTCTACACAGCGATTCTCAGGATTCATCTAAAACTTCGTACACCAGTCCTCTCTCTGCCCTCCCTTCTTCCCTCCCTCTGCCAGTTCCGCCAAGCCCTCAAGGTCCAGCCCAGCCTTATTTCCCTGCTGGAGCCCTCCCTTCCTCCATCCCAGCCGGCACTGTTCCCTCCTGGAACAGCAGCCGAGCGCACGCCTCTGGAATGACTCGTGCTGTTGCATCAGCTCCTTATTTTCTTCTCACTGATTGGGACTTTGAGGGCAGGAACTGTGTCTTGTGCCTGGAAAGCACGAATTCAACAGCTGCTCACTGAATGGTCCTGTACAGGGTCTTCTCTACAAATACAGAAAGCCCTGCAAAGCTAACCAGGTGGCACCCAGATGCTACTAACACTGCTGGTGATATACTTTCCTCTCTTTCAGTGGTTTATGCTATTCAGTAGTTCTGGAGCAAGCCTGACTTCAGCAATTTTGAATAGGGAGCCTAATTCAAGTTTCTCAAATAGACGAAATGAACTAAAGATAGTGGTTTCTTGTCTGGCCACAGATCACTTGGTTTAGCGAATTTTAGATGCTTTTCCTCAGATAATAATAAATGTACAGGGAAAATTTTTTTTAATTTTTGAAAACTATTTTTCAAAAAATGAACACAAGACCCTATAAAGCACGTTACACATTAGTTTTTTCAACTTTAATACCACATCATAAAATGTTTTAAAAATTCAGAGGTCAGGCCGGACGCGGTGGCTCAAGCCTGTAATCCCAGCACTTTGGGAGGCCGAGGCGGGTGGATCACGAGGTCAAGAGATCGAGACCATCCTGGTCAACATGGTGAAACCCCGTCTCTACTAAAAAAATTCAAAAAATTAGCTGGGCATGGTGGCGCGTGCCTGTAATCCCAGCTACTAAGGAGGCTGAGGCAGGAGAATTGCCTGAACCCGGGAGGCGGAGGTTGCGGTGAGCCGAGATCGCGCCATTGCACTCCAGCCTGGGTAATAAGAGTGAAACTCTGTCTCAAAAAAAAAAAAAAAAAAAAAAAATTCAGAGGTCAGTATCTTGACTGTGGCTATAGCTACACAAACCTACAAGTGTGATAAAACTAATTAGAACACACACGACTGCATGTGAACCTGGAGGAATTTGAATAAGACCAGTGGACTGAATGGTGTCAATATTCTAGCTGTGGCATGGTACTATCACTTGCAAAATGGTATCGCTGGGGGAAATGAGACAAAGGGCACAAAGGATCTCTCTTTTTTTCTTTTTCTTTAGAATGGAGTCTTGCTTTGTCGCCAGGCTGGAGTGCAATGGTGTGATCCCAGCTCAATGCAATCTCCGCCTCCCAGGTTCAAGCGATTTTTCTGCCTCAGCCTCCCAAACAGCTGGGACTACAGGCACCCACCACCACACTCAGCTAATTGTTGTATGTTTAGTAGAGATGGGGTGTCACCATATTGGCCAGGCTGGCCTCGATCTCTTGACCTTGTGATCCGCCTGCCTCGACCTTCCAAAGTGCTGAGATTGCAGGCATAAGCCACCACGCCCAGCCAGGATCTCTCTTTTACCTCCATGTGAATCTAGGATTACCTGAACTAAAATTTGAATTATAAAAATCCATAGGGAGACTTTCCTAATAATATTAAGCATTTTTTGCCAAGCGTCTTTTAGTTAAGAGTATTAAATCTACTGGAGTTTACTTTCTTTTTTTTTCTTTTTTGAGACAGTTTAGCTCTTGTTGCCCAGACTGGGGTGCAATGGCGCAATCCTGGCTCACTGCAACTTCCGTTTTCCGGTTTCAAGCAATTCTCCTGCCTCAGCCTCTCCAGCAGCTGGGACTACAGGCACACACCACCACACCTGGCTAATTTTTTGTATTTTTTTTTTGTTTTTTTTTTTTTTGAGACGGAGTTTTGCTGTCGTTACCCAGGCTGGAGTGCAATGGTGCGATCTCGGCTCACCGCAACCACCGCCTCCTGGGTTCAGGCAATTCTCCTGCCTCAGCCTCCTGAGTAGCTGGGATTACAGGCACACGCCACCATGCCCAGCTAATGTTTTGTATTTTTAGTAGAGACGGGGTTTCACCATGTTGACCAGGATGGTCTCGATCTCTTGACCTCGTGATCCACCCGCCTCGGCCTCCCAAAGTGCTGGGATTACAGGCTTGAGCCACCGCGCCCAGCCCTAATTTTTTGTATTTTCAGTAGAGACAGGGTTTCACCGCGTTGCCCAGGCTGGTTGCGAAATCCTGAGCTCAGGCAATCTGCCCATCTCAGCTTCCCAAAGTGCTGGGATTACAGGTGTGAGCCATGGTGCCCAACAGAAAATAATTTTTTTAAAATGCTGTCACTACATTGCTATAGGGCATAGCAACTAAAATAGTTTTCTGCCAAATCACTAGACAAATTTGTCTTCCTAGTTAAAAGTTTCTCACAATATTATATCTTTTTTGTTAGAATTGCAGAAATACAGATACTTTATTTTAAAAGGCAATTATAATATTTTAATCTAGTTTTCTATGGAAACTTTTCAGTATGGTTTATCTGATTATAGATTTATCTCAAATGCATAACCCCTGTTATGTCAACAAACAGCTTTAACTTTTAGAGAGCTTAAAATTTGTTAACAATAATTATTTCTTACAAAAATGAATGTTAAAATAACGTGGATCCTTACCATCTATTTCGAACCACTTTTGCAGTTACATCATCAATGTTCAGTGTAGAAATGTAGGCATAAAGGATGCCGTAGAAAGGATCAGCTTTTCCTTCATTCTTCAAAGCTTTTACCTTTAATTGTTCAACTGTATAGACATCAACTATTGTACTTACTAAAAATAAAAAGAAGTATTAAAGTTCTGTATATATTCTAAGAATGTAAAGGATTATATCCAAATGGAAAGCTATTAAGTTAAATGAGAGCATGCAGTAGCTTAAGTAACAGAAAAATTACTATGTTGGCAATATAAAAACGGATTATGTAAACGGACGTAAAAGCAAAAAATAAGCAAAAAAAGGGAAATGAAATTAGTCTTCATTAAAATGAAGAATTTCTGGTCATCAAAAGACACCATTAAAAAAGTGAAAAGGCAAGCCACAGACTGGGAGATGCTAGCAGTCTACAATGACACAAAGGACTCATCCAGAGTTATCTATAAATAATTCTTAAAAATCAATTAGAAAAAACAGGGACTCAATTTTTTAAATGGGGAAGAGACTTTTAAAAGTACATCACAAAAAAAGTTATCAAAATGGCCAATACACATACTGGCCTCATTAATCCATCAGGAAAATGCAAATTAAACAAGAGTAGAATTACACTAAACACCTAACATTTAAAAGACTAATAACACAAACATTGGTGAGGATGTGAAGCAATAACAAAAAGAAACTACAAAACTAAAAACAATAACCTATTATTCATTTTTATTTTTCTTTATCTTAGAAGAATCTTCCAAGAACAAATATTACTTGGGTAAGAAAACTTTTATCAGAAGTTATCTGGTTCCTTCAGCACTTCGATTGGTTTCTTTTCTTTTGTTGATGTCTAGTACATGAAATTTAATTTTCTTCAATAAACAGATGGTGACATGTATCTATTTATCTATAATATTTTTGTCTTTATCCTTCTATTATTGTATATGCACAAAAAGATAGATTACAATATATTAACCAAATAACTGTTTATTTGGGACTGTTTGTTGCATTCTGCATTGTTTCTTTTTTTTTAGACAGTCTCATTCTGTTGCCCAGGCTGGAGTGCAATGGCACAATTTTGGCTCACTGCAACCTCCACCCACCAGGTTCAAGCAATTCTCCTGCCTCAGCCTCCAGAGTAGCTGGGACTACAGGTGCCTGCCACCACACCTGGCTCATTTTTTGTATTTTTAGTAGACAGGGTTTCACCATGTTAGCCAGGCTAGTCTCAAATTCCTGACCTCAAGTGATCCATCCACTCAGTCTCCCAAAGTGCTGGGATTATAGGCATGAGCCACCATGTTCTGCCAAGCATTCCGTACTTTGTTTCTTTTTTTTTTTTGAGATAGGGTTTCACTATGTTGGTCAGGCTGGTCACGAACTCCTGACCTCAGGCAATCCTCCCGCCTCAGCGTCCCATCTCCCAAAGTGCTGGGATTACAGGCATCAGCCACTGCACCCGGCCTGTTTCTTTTATTTTTTCTTTGAGATGGAGTCTCGCTCTGTCACCCAGGCTGGAGTGCAGTAGCATGATCTCGGCTCACTGCAACCTCTGCCTCCCAGGTTCAAGAGATTCTCCTGCCTTAGCCTCCCTAGTAGCTGGAACTACAGGCATATCCCATGATGCCCAGCTAATTTTAGGAGAGATAGGGTATAGCCACGTTGTCCAGGCTGGTCTTATGAACTCCTGGGCTCAAATGATCCACCCACCTCAGCCTTCCAAAGTGCTGGGATTATAGGCCTGAGTTACTGCACTCAGCCTACTTTTAAAATTCTGAGCATTTTAATTTTTAATAAAATATAAAAGTTCTAAAGAAAACATGATTATAGTTTTACTCTAAAATATGTAATCAATTTCTACATCTGAGGTTTTCATGGGAGTAATGAGCATTTTAAAAGATAAAAAAGGCCAGGCACCGTGGCTCACACCTGTAATCCCAGGACTTTGGGAGGCTGAGGCAAGCAAATCGCTTGGGCTCAGAAGTTTGAGACCAGCCTGAGCAACCTGGCGAAACTCAGTTTCTACCAGGAATACAAAAAGTTAGTACAGCACAGTGGTGTGCCCCTGTCATCCCCAGTACTCCAGAGGCTGAGGTGGGAGGATCACTTGAGCCCAGGAGTTTGAAGCTGCAGTAAGATGCCATTGCATCACTGTACTCCAGCCTGGGCAATAGAGTGAGACCCCATCTCAAAAAAAAAAAAAAAAAGATAAAACAATTTTTATTTTTATAAATCTGGGTGAATTAAACTATCAAAGTTCCCACAGTAAAATAAAAGAAAAAGGAATGCTTAAAAACTACTTTTGGGCTGTGTGCGGTGGCTCATGCCTGTAATCCCAGCACTTTGGAAGGCCAAATTGGGTGGATCACCTGAGGTGAGGGGTTTGAGACGAGACTGGCCAACATGGTAAACGCTGTCTCTACTAAAAATAGAAAAATTTGCCCGGTGTGGTGGTGTGCACCTGTAATCCCAGCTATCCAGGAGGCTGAGGCAGGAGAATCACTGGAACCCGGGAGGCAGAGGCTGCAATGAGCCGAGATCGAGCCACTGTACTCCAGCCTGGGTGACAGAGCAAGACTCCATGTCAAAAACAAAAACCAACCAACCAAACAAACAAAAAACTATTTTTGGGCCAGGCGCTGTGGCTCATATCCGTAATCCCAGCACTTTGGGAGGTCAAGGCGGGCAGATCAGCTGAGGTCAAGAGTCAAGACCAGCCTGGCCAACATGGCAAAATCCTGTCTCTACTAAAAATACAAAAATTACAGGCAGGTGCAGTGGCTCATGCCTGTAATTCCAGCACTTTAGGAGGCTGAGGCAGGTGGATCACCTGAGGTCACGAGTTTGAGACCAGCCCAGCCAACATGGTGAAACCCTGTCACTACTAAAACTACAAAAATTAGCCAGGCATGGTGGTGCATACCTGTAATCCCAGCACTTTGGGAGGTTGAGGTGAGCATATCACCTGAGGTCAGGAGTTCAAAACCAGCCTGGCCAACATGGCAAAACCCCATCTCTACTAAAAATACAAAAATTAGCTGGGCATGGTGGTGGGTGCCTGTAACCCCAGCTACTTGGAGGGCTGAGGCAGGAGAATCACTTGAACCTGGGAGGCAGAGGTTGCAGTGAGCCGAGATTGTGCCACTGCACTCCAGCTTGGGCAACAGAGGGAGACTCTGTCTCAAAAAAAAAGAAAAGAAAAGAAAAGAAAAGAAAAGAAAAGAAAAGAAAAGAAAAGAAAAGAAAAGATGCCTACTATTTTAAACTACCTTTTGAAAAGCTGAAATACAGTAGTTACAGAAAATGAATGTAGTATCTTGTACCATGTCAAACAAATCTTTACAGGACCAATTTCAGTCTTAAAAAAAAAAAGCAATATACTTAAAGGGTCACTTACAATTTATGGATTCTTTGAAATAACTGTCAATTTCATCATCCAGAACATTTGTTTCTTTATTTTCTCTTATAAAATTCAGTAGAATGTTAGCTTCTGGTGTATCTTAAATTGAAAATGCATAATAAGTAAAAAGCAAACTGATTATCTTATTTATTTATTTATTTTTAAGACAAGGTTTCACCATGTTGGTCAGGCTGGTCTTGAACTCCTGACTTCAGGTGATCCACCCACCTTGGCTTCCAAAGTGCTTGGATTACCAACAATGTAGTGTAGAATTCTGTTAACATGGAGACGATGTACACCACGTTACATCAACCACATAGGTTAGTGAAAGAGCAGCTTACTAATCTATGTGGTTGAATACCCTTTTAATTAAAAAAAATCTACAATATAAATACAAAATTATTTGGAAGAATATATATAAAAAATGATTCTTGGCCGGGCATGGTGGCTCACGCCTGTAATCCAAGCACTTTGGAGGCCAAGGTGGGTAGATCACCTGAGGTCGGGAGTTCAAGACCAGCCTGACCAACATGGTGAAACCCCGTCTTTACCTAAAAAAAAAAAAAAAAAGAAAAGTAAAGTAAAAAATGATTCTTTCTAGACAGTGGGATTGTAGCTGATCTTTGTTTTCCTTGTTTATGTTTTTATATATTTTTTCTGAATTTTATATGTATTTCTTTCTTCAGAAAAAAATATTTCAAAAGGCAATTGAAATACATAAAATAGGCTATACAAACACCCTTACTCCTCACATTGGGACACAAGTGTGCTCAAGAGTTGGAGGTGCTGTGCCAGAAGGCAGGAATGTGAGTTTGGAAATAACTCAGGCATGATGTCCTTGGACCCCAGGTCCCCAGCCTCCGGCATGTGAATGTTAAGTACCCCAGACCACCTTTAATATTCTACAACAATGTCTGTACTTTCCTATCTCCCCCAGGAAGATTGGGCATTTCTTCCTCCTTGCTCCCGGAATACAAGTCTCATTATACCTGTTTTTTCTCAGAACTAGGTTGCCAAATTGTCACCAGCAGGTTGTATCCCACATGATGACTACCCTTACATCCTTCTGACCAGCACTCAACTCCTTCCTTGTTCCAGAAATTTATATTGTCTCAATACTTGGCAAGTAAAAGGCATTATAAAATATTTATAAATTCATGCGTGAATGAATGAATGTAGAACTCTGTTAACATGGAGAGATGTGCATCATGAATTACTGTACTTCATATCAGAGCACTTGCTGGGGCAAAGCCACAGAGACCCAACCAACCAGCTTCCCGTGATGGGGGTTGGCAGGGATTGGTTAGTACCACCATGGCAGGTCCTCACTGACAATAGGGTTATTCTGACTGTCAGAGAAAGGCAGGAATTGTGCCCTCCCTATCTGAGAAGTACTCTCAGGGCAGAGAAAGAAACAAGGGAATCTTGACATCCTAGGATAAACACAAGCCATTTACAGCTTCTTAATTTCTATAAGGCAGATGTAACCCAGGATATTAAAAGTAAAGCTAATATAACTATTTATAATAGCAAAGGCATGGAACCCAAATGCCCCTCAATGGTAGACTGGATAAAGAAAATGTGGTACAAATACACACCATGGAAAGCAATGCAGATATAAAAAGGAATAAGATCATGTCCTTTGCAAGGACATGGATGAAGCTAGAAGCCATCATCCTTAGCAAACCAATACAGGAAAAGAAAACCAAACACCACATGTTCTCACTCTTAAGTGGGAGCCAAACAATGAAATAACATGGACACAGGGAAGGAAACAACACACGCTGGGGCTTGTCGGGGGGTCGGGGGCAAGGGGAGGGAGAGCATCAGGACAAATAGCTAATGCATGTGGGGCCTGAAACCTAGATGATGGATCGATCGGTGCAGCAAACCACCATGGCACATGTGTACCTATGTAACAAATCTGCATGTTCTGTACAAGTATCCTAGAACTTAAAGTAAAATTAAAAAAAAAAAAGTAGGCCGGGCGCGGTGGCTCAAGCCTGTAATCCCAGCACTTTGGGAGGCTGAGGCGGGTGGATCACAAGGTCAAGAGATCGAGACCATCCTGGTCAACATGGTGAAACCCCGTCTCTACTAAAAGCTACAAAAAATTAGCTGGGCATGGTGGCGTGTGCCTGTAATCCCAGCTACTCAGGAGGCTGAGGCAGGAGAATTGCCTGAACCCAGGAGGCGGAGGTTGCGGTGAGCCGAGATCGCGCCATTGCACTCCAGCCTGGGTAACAAGAGCGAAACTCCATCTCAAAAAAAAAAAAAAAAAAAAAAAAAGAAAAGTTGATATAAAGTAGCACACAAATTCACGCATCGTTAACGAGTATTTTCCTTTAAATTTGTTTCCTTGATAGAATAAATCCAAGAGATCTAGATCTGCTTTCCAACATGGTGGCTATGAATAATAACAACATATTACATTCTTGAAACGTACTCGGAGAACAGATTTTGAGTGTTCTCACCACAAAAAAATTATAAATATGAGAAGTAGTGCATATGTTAATTAGCTTGATTGAGCCATTCTTCAATGTATACATATTTCAAAACAACTTACTGTATAAAATAAACGGATTCCATTTTTTGTCAATTAAAAAGTTAATAAATTTTAAAAATGTGTCTCCTGGCTGGGCACAGTGGCTCATGCCTGTAATCCCAGCACTTTGGGAGGCTGAGGCAGGTGGATCATGAGGTCAGGAAGTCGAGACCATCCTCGCCAACATGGTAAATACAAAAAATTAGCCAGGCATGGTGGTGTGTGCCTGTAGTCCCAGCTACATGGGAGGCTGAAGCAGGGGAATCACTTAAACCTGGGAGGCAGAGATTGCAGTGAGCCAAGATCATGCCAACTGCACACCAGGCTGGGTGACAGAGCAAGACTCCATCAAAAAAA